AGTTATATTGTAGAGCAAGATGAAGACTTTCAATATTAACTATAGTTAGAATGTCGATATTATTGATACCTTATGGTAGTTGTTGTGTCCCATGTGTTGCTGTGTATAGCAGCTAAAGTGTAGCTATTTGTTAGATTATTTGAATTCTGGCTTTGTAGTTTAAAGTGTATCTGCTTTGTTGATAATTGTAGTTACACTGTAGCATATAGTAGATTTTATTTTATTTTGCAGCACATTGATGCTATTATGTATTACCTGAGAAAAAGAGGCAAATATGGCCCCAACAACAACAACACTAGGTTTACAACAGCCGATTGCTTGTTCAAGTCAAAGATTGAACAAATCTATGAGAAGTTCATAAGTACTCCGCCAGAACAAAAGTATTCGGTTGTTAAACCCGATGATGATGTTGCAGAATATATTCTTGGGTATAGACTTCTTGATAATGTTGCCTGGGATGAAGTTGACTATGTCATCATGCCCGTGAACATTGTAGAGAATTTTCATTGGTTGTTGGTCGTTTTCGACAGCGGACAGGCAACTATATGTCTATGATTCCATGGCGTCTTCACATAATCATAATGTTGTTGAATCATGTGTTGATAAGTTTTCAATCATTATCCCTCTGTATTTGTCCTGCACTGGTTTCTACGGGAAGCGTAAAGACATTGACTTCAAGACCACAAAGGCATACATTGAGAAACCAGTTACAGACCCTCTAACATACAGTGGATGGTTGCGGAGATTCCACAGCAAAAGGAAGGATCACTGTAAAAATAAAACTATTCTCTCTTTCTAGATGGTTAATTATTATTTTTTTATAATCATTTGTTAAATAATTAAATTTTTGTGTCTTATGCAGCGATTGTGGTGTATTTGTGGCTGCTTTTGCGGAGTATGTTAGCCTTGGAGATTTGTCAATTCCTTCAGAAGACCTTTCGGATATCGACCAAAACCGTACACGTTATGGAGCTCTCCTATGGGACTATGCTACAAAGAAGCAAGAAGATGGGTCAATCAGTGAAAGTGAGGTTACAGGCAGGCTAGCAAGGAGGAAGGGTGCTCCTGCTTTGAATGAGAAGACTAGAGTCCAGAGAAAGAAGAAATAGTGTCCTGTTTTCCTAGTTTAGTTGATGCCAATTTGTAGTTGAAGGAGAATACACTACTTTATGAACAAATTTTTATGTTTTACTGCAGCTTACCTTATTGTTTTGTTATTTTATGTTTCATTATGAGTTGTTCACTTGAATATAAATTGGCTTGTTTACAGCACTGTATCTTCATTATATTAACTATGTAGTATTTT